CCAGGCTCTCGATTTACCGGTCGATCTACGTCCCAATCCTCACCTATGGTCATGAGCTTTGGGTAACGACCGAAAGAACGAGATCGCGGATACAAGCGGCCAAAATGAGTTTCCTCCGTAGGGTGGCCGGGCTCAGCCTTAGAGATAGGGTGAGGAGCTCGGACATCCGGGAGGGACTCGGAGTAGAACTGCTGCTCCTCTGGATCGAAAGGAGTTAGTTGAGGTGGTTTGGGCATCTGGTCAGGATGCCTCCTGGACGCCTCCCCGGGGAGGTGTTTCGGGCATGTCCTGCCGGCAGGAGGCCCCCGGGTCGACCCAGGACACGTTGGAGAGGTTACATCTCCGATCTGGTCCGGGAACGCCTTGGGGTCCTGCTGGAGGAGCTGGTGGAGGTGGCCGGGGAGAGGATGGTCTGGAGCTCCCTAGTTGGGATGCTGCCCCCGCGACCCGGACCCGGACAAGCGGAGGAAGACGGCGACGTTGAAGTAATCCTGCATGTTTTTCAGGTAACAATAAAAGTGTTGGAAAAATGGGAGGGGATGAATCGATATGCAGCTGAGAAAGCCATGCTTCAGCAAATTCATTTGTACCCAAAATAAAATGGTTGTGAAATCAAGTGTTTCTTTGGTTTTATTGTCTTTCACTCAAAATAAATACCAACTAGCTAAATAGTTATCAGCTGTAGTAGTTAAATTCTGTTGCAATGAGCTGCTGTGATACACAATAGGACAGTGTTATGGATATTTAATAACTAATTTTTGTTGCTGGTGAGAGAGGAGTGTTGCTGAAATGTTTTTCACTGCTTCTGGGAGTCCTGTACTTTAGCAATTGGTGTAGGTCAAAAGTTCATCTTGGGCTTAACAATAAAACTGAATATTTAGCCAGTACTATTTTGTTTGCACATTTTGAAAAGTCTTAGTTTAACGTGTTCTCATTTTATCCATATGTTTTTTTAATTCACTTTACAGCCTTTTATTGTGTGTGTGTATATATACATTTATGTGTGTGTGTGTGTATATATATATGTATATGTATGTATGTATGTGCTACTGTCATAAAAATTCCCTGTCTGAAGAACAAAGGGATTTAATATTCAATTTTCATGCAACGCAGGTAACAACGTTACCTAAGTTTGCCGGTCCAGATCTGAAGAGAAAAAAAAAATCCGAAATAAAAAGCTTTTTCCGGTAAGTTTTGTTTTTTAAAAAACTACTTCCAGTGAAAGTAATGACTTCTGGTTAAGGTAATGACCCATCGTGTAATTTTTCTCTTAAATGTGTACAAATCGAAGAGAAAAACGACACGGTATGGTTTTGACAAATCCAAACTACTTTTGTGCTTTGTCAATAAAGCGTATTCAAGAAAAAAAAACTACTTCCGGCAAAGGTAATGACCCGAAAAAAACTACTTCCGGCAAAGGTAATGACTTCCGGCGGAGGTAATGACACTTGTTTTTCCGGATACGTCATTTCCTGTCACGGCAAAGACGCCAGCTGATGTCTGCAGCCAGATGCTCTTGCTGGAAGTAGGCAGGAGCTGTTTGTGTGGGATTCCACTAGATGGCGCTAATGTCAAATCAGCACCACATTCAGTTCGTGCTGCTCTGCACTCTGATGCATTCAAATGAAATAGAACAGATCAGTTTGACTGATGCCCGAGCTTTATTTGTACACATGCAAACAGTATATATATATATATAAATGATCGGCATGTTGTTTCACTTCCTTTCCCAGAGAAGTAAATGTAATTCTACCGTGGCCAGTTACAGTTACAAACACTTTGTCAAAACCTTGACGAAAAAATAAAAAATAACCTAATAAGTCAAGCATTTTGAAGGATTTCAAACACTTGTGTAAACATTCTGATGAAACAGAAATCTGGCCCCTAGTCTGTTAACGATGAATTCTGTGTTCAGAGGTTTTGGTCCTTAATCTTATCAAAAGTTAAAAATAAAAATACTAATAAAAACAGACCAAATTAAAGCCATAAAGTTTAAACAAAATAAACAAAACTCAGAGATGATCTGGAGAAGTTACATCTAGATGAGAATGAATTAAGATTTTTTTAATGAATACAATCCTGCAAAAGTGGTAAAAAAAATCTGTGCACATGGACAGGATTTGTCACAAACTATGAATTATTTCGTTCATATTAGTTTTTATTTAAAAACAGCATTAGAAGAATCCACGCTGACACCCCTGAGCTGACTGCAGTACAAACACTTTAGCTGATCAAACATTGACTCTTGTGTTGACATAAACTCTGATGTTCAGGTGATCGTGTAGCTTTTCCGTAGGTCATGAGGCACATTTGTATGTTAAATGATTCGGGCTGTTTTGGCACCAGCAGAATGAATCAGTGTTGCTGCTGACACAGGAACAACTCACCACGCACGTTTCTGCCTCCACAAAAGATTTTACTCTCTCCGTGTTTCTGACTAACTCAGCTGATCCATTTTAGGTCTCCTGTTTCCTCTGAAAATCTCCCTTAATGAAAATGATTTTCTCTTCCCTTATGTTTGTCTTAAATTTTCCCTTTGTCCACATGAAACTTTCAAATTCTCTCTGTTCTCTTTTTCTTCTTCTGCTTTCTAGAAACCTCAGTATCTGTTGCGCGTTGTGGCCATCTTGACTCATTTGTCCATTTGTGTATTCTGGCAAATGTTTGCATTTTTTCAATAAAAGGAAAATGACAAAAACGATTTAATCATCAATACTGTTTGCTTTCACATCTCCATACACACTCACTGGCCACTGTATTGGGTACACCTTGCTAGGCCTGGTTGGACTCTCTTTGCCTTCAGAACTGCCTCAATCCTTTGTGGCATAGATTCAACAAGGTACTGGAAACATTCCTCAGACACTTTGGTTCATATTGACATGATAGCGTCTCACAGTTGCTGTACATCCATGATGCAAATCTCTCGTTCCACCACATCCCAAAGCTGCTCTATGAGATCTGGTGACTGTGGAGGCCATTAGAGTGCAGTGAACTCAATATCATGTTCAAGAAACCATCTGAGATGATTCGAGCTTTATGACATGGTCCTGCTGGAAGTAGCCATCAGAAGAAGGGTACACTGTGGTCATAAAGGGATGGACACGGTCAGCAGCAATACTCATGTAGGCTGTGGCGTTGCAACAATGATCAGTTAGTACTAAGGGGTACTAAGTGTGCCAAGAAAATGTCCCCCACACCATTACACCACCACCACCAGCCGGAACCGTTGATAGAAGGCAGGATGGATCCATGCTTTCATCTTGTTGACGCCAAATTCTGACCCTACCATCCGAATGTCGCAGCAGAAATCGAGACTCATCAGACCAGGCAACATTTTTCCAATCTTCTGTTGTCCAAACTTGGTGAGCCTGTGTGAACTGTAGCCTCAGTGTCCTGTTCTTAGCTGACAGGAGCTGGTGTGGTCTTCTGCTGCTGCGTTCAGAGATGCTCTTCAGCATACCTTGGGTGTAACGAGTGAATATTTGAGTTACTGTTGCCTTTCTTTCAGCTCGAACCATTCTGGCAATTCTCCCCTGACCTCTGGCATCAACAAGGCATTTTCTCCCACAGAACTGCCGCTCACTGGATGTTTTCCCTTTTTCTGGCCATTCTTTGTAAACCCCAGAGAGGGTTTTGTGTGTGGCAATCCCAGAAGATCAGAAGTTTCTGAAATAATCAGACCAGCCCATCTGGCACCAACAACCACACCATGTTCAAAGTCACACCTTTCTTCAGCATTCTGAAGCTCAGTTTCAACTGCAGCGGATCGTCTTGACCATGTCAACATGCCAAAGTTCATTGAGTTGCCACCATGTGATTGGCTGATTAGTGATTTGTGTTAACGACCAGTTGGACAGGTGTGCCCAATTAAGTGGCCAGTGAGTGTATTTTACCAACATCTTGTAAGAACCAACATTTTTTTCTGATTTTACCCAAGCAGCACACTGGACTTGAAGTACAGTAAACATATAAATATCAGAACTGGTCAAGTTGGCCTTGTAAAAGCTTTTAGAAAAATGAGATGCTTTTGCTGATGTAGAGGAAGAAGCTTCAAAATGTGACGATCTTATTCCTGACAACAGTGAATCTCACAAGGACGATGAGACCAAGCATCAGCTAGAGGACGCGTCTTAGAGCTGTCAACAACCAGCTACAGGACAAGTCACTCAATGGGGATCTTCTTGACAGCGAAAAGAGCCACCCCATGTTTGCTGCTGTGATGTGGATGCAACCAGGGTTCAGTGAGGCTGGTGTCTCATCTGGACCGACACGGTTACGGTTTATAGCTTGTGTCTGTCTAAACTGACGTGAATGGATTCAATACAAAATTAAGTTCAAATTAAAAAGAGCTAATTTAAAGAATTATGCTTCATTTGCAAATTTGTTTAATTTCACCCTTCAGAATTTTGATAATTTACTTTTTTATTAAAAAGAAAATTATTTGCACATTCATTTCTATATGTGATTTAAGAAGGTTAAAGGTCAAATACTAATATTAAATGCTGTTTATACGGCTTGTAATAGTGGTAAAGTAAACATATTTAACCTTTCTCAGTGGCCAAGTGGTAGAGTGTCCGCCCTGAGACTGGGAGATCAGGGTTCGATTCCTGGTCGGGTCATACCAAAGACTTTGAAAAAAATGGGACCCAATGCCTCCCTGCTTGACACTCAGCATTAAGGGGTTGGATTGGGGGGTTAAACCACCAAATGGTTCCCGAGCGCGGCTGTGTCTGCAGCTCACCGCTCCCCCAGGGGATGGGTCAAATGCGGAGAACAAATTTCGCACACACACCAGTGTGTGTGACAACTAATGGGACTTTAACTTTATGTTGAATATTTTAATCAAAAATTGTTTTATTGAATTAAATACTGGGAAAAAAAACGCCGGCTGAAAAACAAGAATATGAAACCACACAAAGATAAAAGTTCGTTATTAAGGACATTTCTTTATTTTGGTTGATCGGAGACCAAAATTATAGAAACAGAAGACTCCGTCTGAGTTATCTTTCAGATCTTTAATGTTTTTCGGTCACCAAACATTCTGAAGCCCAATATATGTTACAATACCTGAGAAAATCTGTAATAGTCCAAGCTCAAGTCTGTGACTCAGAACTAAAGAACCAGTATTGGATTTAAAGCCACAGTGTGTAATTTTTTACTTGCTTACCATCAAATTCTGAGTATCATGTTCACTAACATCTATTCTAAATTTTCCTATTAGCTTGAAATTTTACCTTTTTACATACATAAACTGTGGCAGACGCTCCATACATGCACTGTCTCGAAATACCGTAGCTGTTTAGAGACATACAAGATATAATGCTCTTGATTTCAAGTTTGCGCTTTAACATGAAAGTTCTCCTCCCTCTGAACATTGCGAGGGGTTGGCGCCGGTTCTCTCCATGGCAGCCTTGTTGGTTTGGGGAAATTCTGCTCCTTCCCCTTGGATTGTTTACCCTGCACTGCAATGATCGCTGGATTGAAAACTGGAAGTCGTTTATAACTGTGGCGGTGGGCACAGCTGAGAGGGAGAGGGAGACGAGTGACGCCACAGAAGCGTTCGACACGTTAGACGTGGCAGTTTTGCTACGCACGGCAGAAGCAGCAGCACTGGAACGAGAAGACAGCAGCTGCTGCTAATGACTGATCGGCCCGTTCTAAAAATATATTCACCGGACACGGACAGAGGGCTCTCTAATCCCGGAGACACTGAAGGAAACAGCGGAAACAGGAAATAAAACTTGCTAACGATTGAAACTGGTGAGCGGTGTTTCCACATGGCCTTTTGACACATGTGGGCTACTGTAGCTGCAATACCTACTCTGGACTGTGTAGCGCTAAGGAGTCGAATATTTTTACACACCGGGGCTTTGAGATAAAAGTTTAAAAATATATTAGAAAATCCACTTAATAAATTCACCAAACAGGCCTTTTAAATGCCTTCACCCCCTTTCATCATGAAAATTACTTTGGATTCTTCAGATTAAAAGCAAATTCAGACATGTCACCTTCTGCTTTGATCTTCACATTCAAATTTTACATACAAATCAAAGTCAGTGTAACAAAATTTTTGATTTGTTCAGGTGCTGAGATCAGATGGACGTTCACATGCTACCTTGGCAGCATGTCCTGCAGGTCTGCCACCACGTAGGCAACCACGGCCCACAATGCCGAGCAGAGGTCCATGTCCCGAGGGTTCTGCACTGTCATGGTGTCCCCCTCACTGTGGTGGAACCAAAAGTAACGACTGTCTGCCACATGGAGGCTGGCACCTGGATGAAGGATGGGCACAGTCATATATTGGAGTAGCTTAAACTCTTGGTTTTAACAGCATGAAATCTCATTCATAAACAGAAGCAGCACCACTCTACAGTAGGGGTACTCAAGTGTAAAGCCTAATTTATATTTCTCCATCAGCTCTGCCAGGGAGAGGCGCACACGCACTGACAGACGTTTTGTTTTCGGACTTCTCCATCAGCTGGGGAGTGTTACAGCCCAATTCCCCACCAGGACAAAAGAGCGTATCGCTATTCTGAGGTATCCTGCCACCATTAGTCACGTATCCGTTCCACGATGGTGTATTTACGATCGTGTTTACCTTGTTTAATGTATTTAAGAGACTTTTGAACATGGACAAAATTGTCCCTCATTCCCCTCCACCTCTTCATGCGATCGGTGCCTCTAAAGTCACGTGTCTCATCCTTTTGGTCCATGAGTAAAATGCTTGCTGCATATCTGTCTACTCCTTCAGTCACGACTGAACAAATGTAAATATTTTCAGACTTTTTCAGTGAGGAATTCTGCTGCTAAATATATTTTTTGTTTGTTGAAGTGGCAAAGACGGTGCTGTTGACAAATGAAAACAGGAAGCAGCATCCTGACCAATCACAAGCTTGCAGTCTCTGTCTCTTTCGATGAAATTTGGGGCACGTCTCCATCTTCTTCCGCAAGCCTGTCATGGGCTCTCGCATCAACTTATAATGGAGTTGCGCGCGTCCGTCCCGACACAGAAGTTTCAATTAGGCATAAGCGACAGTCAGGGTACTTGCAGGAATCTTGAAGTTAAATTTAATACATTTTCAAGACCTTCTTTTTAATACCTCACCGCCATTTCAAGGTGTAACCATTTACAGTGATCAGTGATACTTTTAACTCAACAGATTTAGTTTGTGATAAAGACTAGACCACTCTGATACAAAAATAAATAAAAATCAAAAAGGCTAGGATAGTAAATCAAAGCAAAGTTTATTAAAGAACAAAAACCTTTGCTCCACCCTCAACAACAATCATGCTGACATGTGCCTTAGTTCTTCTGATTTGGTTTCCAGCTGCTTCTCAGTTTGGACCAATTCATTCCGTTTTTCTTTACTACATCTTCTGAGGATGTTGGACTTTGTGATCAGTTGTGCCCTCAATGTCCCAGATTTACGCTCTGCCTGGTCAGCTAACTTATCAGCATCTGTTTCGAGGGCGTCGCACACCTCTGTCTGAACAGTTCGTTTCCTTTTCAGGTCTTGTATCTCCTCTTGCACTGCTTTTCTTTTGAGGTCCTGTGTGGCACTCTGTTTCTTCTTCCGGTCATCGTCCAGGTAACTCCTGTACATTGACCTTGCACAGGCTGCTGAAGCCATGAGCTCCTTTGTGAGAACCTTCAAAACACCCCACAGACACTGATCTTGTCACATATCATCCTCAAAGCTTCCATCGACTTTTCAAGGTTGCTGCATGTTTCAACCTCCTTGTTGACGGAAAACTCTCTTTCCACCGTGGCTTGTCCGCGGGACAGAAGTAGTAGGCTCTGAGGGAAAACTTAGATAGCCCTGGATAGGACTTGCTCAAGGCTGAATGCAGGAAAACATCAAGTCGCTCCTTCAGTGGCTGGAAGGAGGAGAAGCTCTCAGCTCTCGCCTCAAGCGAGAGAAAGCTCTGGAACTGTTGTTCCATGACCAAGCAAAGCCTGGTGGGCCACCAAGCTTATAGAGCGCTGGGGGAAACCCTGGAATGTGTATGGAAAAAAACTCTCAACCCACCTGTGGCCACAGAATGGTAGCGGAAAGGAGGTGGACCCAGTCAAGGCAGTAAAGTCCTCCCTCCTAGCTGGAACATTATGAAAGAGGTAGTGGAGTGCTCGAAGGAGCTTGTCCATCTGTCACATGGTAAAGCCTGCCTTCAGAGCATTGTGGAGGGTGTGAAGCCCACAGCTTCCAACATTAACCAGATGAGCATCGTATAGCTCAGAGTGTTCAGTCTGGAAGAGGTCTGCAAGCTTCAAGTTGACGTTTGGGCCGTCCATACTGATGGAGAGAAGCTGCCTCATATTCATTGATGCAACACATTCCTGAGAATAAACACAACAGCAAGTATATTAATGGCAATATTCCTTTTATGCTTATTTTTTAATACACTGGCATTCAGTAAGCTATTAGACTGATTTTCACTCATGATATGTAAAATAGTTATAAGAAACAATGTTTTTGTGCAAATTCCTGGAGCAAAAATTAAAATATTAGCACACCAATATTTTTTAAAAGTGAATGTTCTTCACTGTTGATCCAGTTAATGTGCTCCAATTACTTCCGAGCCATTCAAGATAAACTGAACTGCTAGTCTGGTCAATCAACTTCACCCTCCAAGAATAATGCAGACAATTTCATAGTCAAAGAACCCACAGCATCCACACACTCACATGCATAATCAAATACATGTATGCGCATGCGTGCATACACACACACACACACAAGCACATCTCCGATCTACACAACAGCAACCTTCATTGCACCACTGTGTGTGTCACATGTATACAAGTTTATAATTTCTGACAGACAACCAACCTCTTATCATCCATGGCTCCTCCTCCCCAATCCCATCAACATGTTTTAGTCACTTGCAACATCCCAGTCTCATCATTAATATACAGTTTAGCCTTACGATTGTCCATAAGTATCAAAATTTGAAGATGAAATGCTAGTAAGTTAACTTACTTTGATGTGATGCAACAGGTCGACAGCTTTTCCATGTCCAAAGAATTGAGAGCCAAGGTACCTAGCCAGAACAGATCTTTATTATTATGACACTCCTAAAAACACACCTACCTAACAGGTTATAATGAAATAAATAAAAATATAGTATCTAGAGCAGGGGGCTGAGGGGGAATTCCACACTGCTTGCACAACCGTCTCATCCTTATCACTAGGATAAATGCAATTAAGTTTATCTCTCGCCAAATAGAATATTTACTAAGCAATCACAATGTAACCATAGACACATTGCCTGGTGTGTGTGTGTGTGTGTGTGTGTGTGTGTGTGTGTGTGTGTGTGTGTGTGTGTGTGTGTGTGTGTGTGTGTGTGTGTGTGTGTGTCTGCTCTGTCCTCCATCCCCAGTGAGTCATGGAGGATGGCTGCTTATACTGAGCCAGGATCCTCTGGAGGTTTCTTCCTGTTAAAAGGGAGTTTTCCTCTCCACTGTCGCTTTATGCTTGCTTAGTATGAGGATTGCTGTAAAGTGCATCAAGTTACTAGTCAGTGACTTGATGCAATTTGCTGGGTTCTTTTCATAGGAAATATTTTTTCTGATTGGCTTAATGAACTGACCTGAATTGGAATGTTTACTATGTGAAGTGCCTTGCGATGACTCTTGTCGTGATTTGGCGCTATATAAATAAACTTGAATTGAATTGAATCCTGCCATATATAGTAGGAAAGTGACAATAATGACCATGCCTATTGTTTTATGTAACTAGTCTTCTGATTTGGGGCACTGAAAGGACCTAAATATGTGCTTATTGCGTGTGTCTGATTTCCTGAGATATACGTGTGGAGGTGGAATGACCCCTTTCTGTACTAGTGTGTAAGGTTACTTTTACTTTTTTTGAAGAAAAATAATGAACAACAGTTGCCTTATTCTCCTTTGCTATTCTTAAAGCACAACCCAACGGGGGCCTATATGCATTGATAGTAACATTCACAAGAAATGTGTCAAGGGAATTTTGTCATTAAAGCAGGGTGTGGAACTCCCCCAGTCCCCTATATATAATATATAGTACTAAGCAGAAAGTACCTGGACTGGTCATCTTCCCAGAATCAAATGTGGACATCAAGCTGTTTAGTTTTTGTTGACCGGCTCGCCAAACATTAACAAAAACTGACCAGCCTTGTTGATGGTGTCGATGAGCTCCTGCTTGAAGTATGGTGCCAACCCAAATCGCAAGATGTATCCAGTTTTGTCCTTGCCACAAGTGAATGACTTTGCTATATCCGTGTCTGGAAACATAGCCTTGAAAACTTCAGTCAAGTTTTCGTTTGAGTTAATTGAATTGTGTTTCTCTGCTGTGCTGAGACACCACAACACCTAACCACGCAACGTTGCTGTGCTGATGTCGGCTGCAGAAGATGAATAAGCAGAGGCAGCCCGGGTCGTAGCTGTAGCTTCAGGTGCTACTGCCGGTGATGTGGCGATGTTGGCACTAAGTTGTAGTGGTGCAACCCGATTATCACAGAAGCTAGTGTGATGGGACAGACAGATCCGGTCTGGTCCCATCTCAGTAAAGAGGCAGGTGGCTCGCATTAGACGGATAGCGGGGCGGGGCGAGCCATCCAATAACAGGCAGCTGTCTGCTCCTCCAGCAGGACAGCTCTTGTGTGACACCTCAGGTGCTAGTGTGTGTTGAGACTCCAACTACAAGCAGCTACTGGAGCTGCATATGCTGTTACAGCGTTAAACTGCACCCAAGTACTCCTAATCATATCTCTCCCCATGTGTGTGTGGCAGCAGTATAAAGGCTGATCTGACTCAGCCGTGCTACGACCTGTGGCTGCCCGTCTGTGTGCCGAGAGCCGCTATTCCATTCAGCTTTGCCCGCAGCGGTGCCACCCAGAGTAGCGGAGCGTCTGACGGCGTCGGCAGTGCACTGGACTTCCTGTTGCTCCATCTCGCCAATTTCAACTCCAGAGCCGGTTGCGGGCCCAGAGGACTCCTCACTGCTGTTCTGTCCGTATGGGGGGGGGGGGGGGGTACTTAGTCATATCGCCCAGCCCTGCTTGTGGCCGTGTTCTAAAACATCTTCAGTTGTCCGTGACTTCAAATGGTGTTTTTCTTTTTTGGACTCTGGTTGTTTGTCCTAAAGCTAAAGTGGTAGAAGCCGGCTGTTTCTCCTCTGATATCACTGAGCGGAGAACCTCTCACACAGGTGCTGTTGTGTTGCTAAATACGTGAGCGTGTGATAATTGAGGACCCTGGTAAATGAAGGAGTGTGGTGGTTCGATGAGACCAACA